GTAGCGGTCCTGATCATGTTCCAAGACACGAAAGGGGTTTCACTCGCATAAATAGATCGGCTTCAGAGACCACCGTGCTTCATACCAACACGAAGCTGATATCGGGGCTTCGAAGATTCATTAGCATTTACATTCTCCTTCGCTAGTTCCATTTGCATGAGAGAAAATTGCCATATGGTTTCAATTTAAGCGTTAAGCATGGGTGAATGTGTGTGTAATGGTTAGTATAGCGGGGCAGGATGGTTTGTAGGTGGTGAGATGAAGGGAAAATAGGTCTAGCGGATTAAAGCGCTCAGTTTTCCTTATGAGAGACGCGTGGAATGTGATTGTACATTGTTTGGGTTTTTGTAGTATATGATTTATGATATAGCGTGTAATTCTGGTTAATTTGAGATCTTTGTTAGGTGTGTATTTTTTTTCTTAATTCATATCATACATATTTTATCTGTTGATGTTTCTCTAATCACTCATCATCACGAAACGTAGACAGCAAAAAATAATAATAATAATAAATAAAAAAAAAAATAAATAAATAATAATAACAAAAAAAAAAAGATAAAAGAAATACACCTAACAGACACAAAAATATTTGTTAACAATAAAAATGCTATGAGCGTCTATCTAATATTGTTCTGTAAGTTAAGGCTGCAGCACCGATCACGGCAAATGTTTTATGATGCTCACCGTTTGCATATCAAAGCATCTCCCGCACCTTGGGTTTAATCCCTTGCCGCTTCACAACGCTAAGAAAGCGAACAAACACTTTTTATTACGTGAAAAAAGGACCGGGTACGAGATCAACGTGAAATACAACATACACCGTTTTAGACTCCGTTGTAAATACGGACCACTGCGCTCTCACATCTAACCACAAGACGATGGGAACCACTTACTTGTTATGGGTGACATTGCCTTCATGTTGTTCTTCTGTACGGAATTCTTCGGCCTCGCTGGGCTAACCTAGTGTCCCTTTATGATCATATACGTTCTCGGAGATTTCCCATAGTGATGCGCCGGCTACTCCTTAGAACTGGCTCATCGAATTGGAAGAAGCCACTCCTTGCTACTCCTGCAGCAGAGGAAGGCTTGAGGTCACTGTCGTTGTCTGTCTTTCGTCTGTCAGAATTCAGCAACACTCGAATACAGTCTCGTCAGGGAAAGTCCTTCGCCTGCAGAAAAAAAAGTCCCGGTACTCTTCAGACACAAGGAATGACTAAAGAAATTCACCTAATTCCTCCAACGAAAGGAAATGTAACCAATCTTAATAAAAAAAAAAGTGACTAAGAATTTCGGTCAGAGGACAGAGCGAGAGGGAGCGTCCACTCGGCGCGGATGTCGGTAAGGGTTTGAAGCTGTCCCCGGCGTGCCCAAGATGCCCGACGGAGCTGCCCAGTTCAGCGGGGTAGAAATCGCAGGGAATGGCTCTCGGTTCCTGCATTTAGGTCGTCCTGTGCGATCTAGGAAAAAGAACTCTTCAGGGGTGAAGGGAAAGGGTGACTCAGGTCGTTTGTCTTGAGACCTCGGTGTTTTGCCGAGGGAAAAAATTATACGTTGTGGGTTAATGGAGGGCCTGTGATCCCTGACAGTGTGTCATGAAGCTAACCGTTAGGTCGGAGTCAGGCTGAGGATAAAGAACATATTTTTTCGGGGAGGTAGAAGAAAGAAAATACACCAATTGACAAAGAATAAAAGCGGAAAAATGGAAAAGAGATGACAATATTATCTCTTTCACTGCTATAATATATAGCCACGCCTTAAACTCACCATTCCCCGAGGCTAAAATTCCCGCTTCTTGAGCCACATTGCTAATGGTCAAAGGAAGAGATAGGAAAGACATTAATCCTTTCATTTTTCTGCAACTCTCCAGACAGTCCTGGCGTCACACACGCTTCAAACATCCTCGGAATATCTTTGTAACCAACTCATTAGCAAATAAACAAAGACATTAAGTAATAAATACACAAAACAAAATAAAGAAAAACAAATAAAACAAAGTAAATAAAGAAAATAAACAATCAAATAACAACATATACCAAATGAATAATCAAACATACAGTGAATAAATACACATATAAACAAACAATAACCAAACAAACAAACACGAGAAGAACAGTCGCGCCAAAAACACAAAACAAAATGAAAATAAATAAAACAAAGTAAACCAATAAACAAAAACAAGCAATCAAAACAACTCCACAAAGCAAGTGAACAAACAAACCAAACATACAATGAATAAATATACATAAAAAACATAAAATAACCAACCAAACGAACACCAGAAGAACTTTTCGCGCCCCCAAAAAACCCGTCACTTTTCACGCCAAAAAAACGTCAATTTTCACGCCAAAAAAACGTCACTTTTCACTCCTGATGGCTATTCGGGCCTGAGTTACCCCGGTTATCGTCATCTTAAGCAGGTCTTCTCTTTCGAGATTATCATAATCATCTCAGATCCGAGCGGCTGATGGAGAAACGGCATTAGGGAAAAGGCCAGAGATTA